AAGAAAGAGATTGTTTCACTAAATCCTAGGTCATTTGTGGTCTCATAAGAGTCAGGGACTTCAAATGTATAGGAAGGAACTTCAACACATGGTTGACAAATGTCTGGTGCCTTCTGTGGTGGTTTCCCGTTATATCTCAAGTAATTGTAATTAGTGTACTTTGTGCCCTGGAACTCAAAGGTCTCGACAACTTCAAATAATGATGAATTATAGCCCTTACCAATATTAGCTGAGATATGTAGCACATCACCGAAACCGATTGTAGCATGTAAAATCCCTGTAAGAGCGTCATACTTAAAACTCTCAAATGCTAACAGTGGAGTTAAAAAACCATTCCCATTCCCAAGACCATAAACACGGACGTCCTGTCCGTGTAGTTACCTTCAAAACAGACGTACTATCTGATAGATAAACAGTTTGTTGTTGGACGTCAATACCACCTATGTCAAATTTTGAATTTTCACCAACCGTTATGCAACCACCTCCGTGAATAGGGTTTTCCAAATCAAAAGAAGTATTTGCTAGACATATAGTACCTGTATTATACCAAGGGTTTGCTAAGTTTCCTATTTTAAAATATTTGGGGCATGTTTGCACTTACACCTTTTGAATAGATATAGCCAGTGTTTGTTACTGCTTCAGAACCAATTTCAATAGTATCACCATGACTGGAAGTGAACATCATACTACCCGTATTAATAAAGGAACTGGTAACTAAAGAGATGGTTATCTATTTTCCATGTACCAGCAGTGGTACTATTTCTATCATCAACAACAACAGTTCCATTATTTTCAAAATTGAAAAATCCCAAAATATGATTTTCCGATATGATGTTAAAACCATCCAAACCATTGTTAAGGTAATACAAAGCACCTCCTTTTTGAACTTTAACAGTATCATACATTGCAACAGTAGTCATATCCTGAAATGCCAGGTAAGCTCCGCCCAATACAATATAACCATTGTCATATTCTGGAGGATTGTTCCCATAAACGATTGTGTTGCTTTGAACAACAGCTTGAGAGGTAGCAAGACTCAAATGATAGCACAATTGGATGATATAAAAAATCCAGGTTGAGGATAATTGTTTCTTTCTCATCTTTGAAGCACAAACGTTATTCACACAGAATTTCTGACCTTTTTGATGTGTACTTTTCATTTTTTTTATTGGCACAAACTTTTGGGAAAAATTATCCAGTGAATTGTTGGTCAATTAGTGCTGGTCCTTTTATATGTATTCACATTAATAAAACACTTTATCCAAAAAAAAAAAGATAACTATTTCATTTAATGCATCATTTATATACAATTCAGAACCCAAATGGAAACATTGGAATGGTCTTAGGATAGGGGATATTTTCATAGATTACTGGATGAACTGCTCTAGTTGTTATAAAGAGTCACTTTGACTTAAGTTTCTATGTATAGAACAAAAAGTGAACTATTTTGATACAGTTTCATAACTCTGCTGATGATGATAATGTCAAAACATTTACATATTGTTATATTACAGTCTTTTACTGCATGCATCAATAATTTTCCACAATAGAGGGGTTTAGTAAAAATATAATTATCAACTTGTAATGGATTAATTAACAATCTGAACATTGCACTGGTGTCTTGAAAACCAATGACTTGGAATATCTACTTTGAAAATATATATGCATGATTGTTATAGAAATACTGGTACAAATTAAAACATGTTTATGTAAACGTTGGTTAATAATAAGGTATCAAAACTCCTATATATTATATCAATTTGTTTCAGTTAATATATTCAAATATTAAAGAAGTAAATTATTCTTTGTATTTTAGGATCGGTTTTCCCAAGTAGAAAGTTATTCTTCTTTTTATTATATTAGGTGAAACCTCTTATATAATAAATAATAATATCTTTCTAGTTTTTTTATATCAATTACTTAAAAATTGCCGTAGTTTTAACAGTATAGAATGCGAAAAAAATAAATCTTGCAGCAAAAATAAAATCAAAAAGATAAAACCATTAATAACAACTAAGTAAATGTCATTATCATATATTCGTACTGTATACTTGTTTCATATAAGCAATTCAGTTTATATCAAATTTGATACTATCAATCTTTAACTTTTTCGCTACGTCATGAATTGTCATTAAATTTGATAATACTATTTCCAAGATTAGATTCAAGACTTCCACATTTCTGTGGGATGTCATAAATAACATTTTATAGTGTCTAACTGAATATAGCTTCTAGCTTGTTCACTCTTGGTAATGGACTTTAAATGACATTTGATGATACAATTTGCTATTACATGTATTATTCGATTACTCACCTTTATGAGAGTGCTAAACATATAATAGCAGTAGCACTGTAAAATTTGATGTTGTTTTTGGATAATAATATACCCAATAAAACTTTCTCCATTTCTATTATTGGATTTGAATAAATAATATTAGATAGTTAACCTGAAAAGGAGCCTTTCACATGGCTTCCTTTTTCATTAGAAAACTGATTAAGAAAGGCAAAAATATCAGCAAGTTCAGTATGAGACAAAAACATTACTTTGTCTGTTAATAGTACCAAAGGAGTACAATTAATAAATAAATAGTTTTATAAAAACTCAACAAAATAAATACAGATCAATTCTTCAAAATTATTAATTTGTTCGACTTTATGCCTTCTGATTCAATATCTCGAATGTTTGATTGTATTAGCATTTTTTTTATTATGACTTCAGGGTTTTTACGGAGCATCTTTTTAGCCTTTACGTTCCAAATTCTTTAAAGGAGATTTTTGGATGTTCATTGTGCATGTTGAAATACTTGGTGCAATTATAGTAGATTTCATATTACAGTAATGATCTTTGTTGTATATTATCAAACTTTACTGATATTTAGTAATAGCAATACTTTTGTGATGACTACTTGAAACTAGAGTACACATATGTGTGTGAAAAAATGGATTGTACAAGTCTTGGAGCTATTTTTAAATACCTCATATTATTACGAGGAGTAAACTCAAATAATTGATATGATAATTCAATATAGAATTTTGGAATATTTAGTGATTAAATTAACGCCCGGTCGTCTATGGAAATAATGAGAAAGGGATATCGTAGAGATTTTTGTGTCTTCAGTTAAAAATAATTATCAGAACATGACGTAATCTTTGCTTTTATAACTGTAAGAATAACTGGGCAAAATGATTGTCATACAAGCTGTGGGGATGTTAGGCAAAACAGAATTTATTGCCGTAAATTAAGTACGGAAGTGTAATATTATTATCAATCTTACTAATGTCATATATCTTAGCTTTTGTACAGAAAATCTCCCACAAAATACAGATACCTCTATGTAAATAGATTTGTACTAAAGACAAAATTAGTTTCCAATTTGTAACTCGGTAATGTGTTAAGTTTTGACAGATCCTTCGGGTGGTGCTGATACTCCATGTTGTATGATAAGTTTATCGACTCTGAACAGTCTGTTGTTTCAAACTGCAATACTAAAAATAATACGTTATTTTTTTTTTAATTTTGAGAGAATTTAACTTTTAATTGAATATGTATGTCCTCCACGGTTTTCCTTCAGAGCAGAAATTCCTACTTTTGTGCCGTATAGTATCTCCTCACGTCCCCCCTATCTTGAAAGATTGATAGAAAAATTCAACATTTTTAAGAGTTTACGTCATATTCATGACTTCTTATGATAAAAAAAAAAAGTAAACTAACTACATTTTTAAATAATTATGAGATCAATCGTAAATATGCAACCGTACATTATTTACTTGGTTTGATGATGTGGTACACTGTTCTCAACTAATTGGCGTTTTCATATCACTAGTGATGAGAAAAATATCTTGGTGTTTTATGACTAATGCTCAACAAATTTGAGGAACCACATACAGTATTACGGTAGTGCTATTTTTAGTTAATGCTGAGTTGTGATTGTTAGTAAAGATACCAAACGATTTGTTATATCTAACTTCGTATCTACTGAAGACACTATTAAATATTTCTCATTTTTGCCTTATACAGCTCCCAGAAAACTTTCGGCATGATAAAGGCACAGCAGAAAAATAATTTAGATATCTATTATCAAGTCAAGCAAAGAGGAATGTCTTGTTGCATATAATACCAAACTTATTTCCATTTCAGACGATTTTGCTGGTACCAAAATCTCAGCTTGAGGTATTAAATTATTGTTATTCCAAGTAATGCAACAGTAACGGTAGATTCTAGAACAGAATACCAAAAATATAATTAGGATGGTGCCATATTGTGATATATGTTATGTAGCTATAGGAAGGCTACAGATTATGAGCCCTGCGAGGTATATTACGTGGAGTATTAGCGCCGCTGATTGGTTCCGGTGAGAATTCATATTCTAAAATTTTGTCTTGAGTATTTTTCTGTAATGGCTCTTTCCTATATATTGACATACTAAGTATATACATTAACTGCTTCAACAATTGTGTTTATATGGTACATATCAAACTGAAAGGTACCAAAACCACATCTATGCCGCAACGATAAACATAGATGAAAAAGTCTAAAAACTATATATTCCACATACTATTATAATAAGTTTAGTTGTGTAAAATTGTTTTTATTACTAAAGACACTATTCAAATAGGTTTTAAAAAACGATAGAACTTAATGGACACTTATTGTCTCAATCTATTAAAAATTTGAGTAGGATAATAACCCTTAAAAATTAATAATCTTATCAATTACTAAAAATAAATGAATTACCGTCAATCAGTATTTGCAGTCATTTTATGACCAAGAAAACTCAATCCATTTTAAATTTGTCTAGTTTAGAAAAGGCTACATGAATTTGTTTTCATAGTCTAAAGAAAGGTTATCCCAACAATTTGAAAAAGTCTATTACAGGGAGATTAATATCTCTATAATAGTTGTTGAATAGTTAAGGTATTTGACTAGGGTAAATATCGGCAAGTACAATATAAATTGCACGTTGTTGGTGTTGAGAAGATTTCTTTTCTTGTTTTCTTTAAGCCAAATTGCATTAGAGTAGCACCAAAGAAACTATTACATTATGAAAAGCCAACGGAGGTTAGTTAGGATGTGACTTTGTTTACTAAAATATTTGATACCATCATCAAAAATTGGTAAAATTTCTCTCTAAAATACTTATTGCTACACTTCAGTTTAAAAATAGATATATTGTTATAAAGATATTGAAATTGTAGTAGATACTGGTTATTCTTTTATCATCAGCACCGGTAATGCACAGAAGTAAGTATGCCAAACGGTAATATGAGTATTTTAGTGGCATGTGTTTCTTCCATAATGGTTGTGAGTATATGATGTGATGCTGATTTTTTAAGTTCTACTTGGCGCACATGTAAAAGTACAAATAGCAAAACCCGGGATGATTTTCATCTTTTGTCAAAAAGGTGAGTAAATATGGCTTTTGAATTATTAAAAAGACATAATAATAACCAGAAAATAATTTACTGTTGATTATGAATGTAACTTTTATCTGTAAATACTCTTCAATTGAATCAAACACTCAAACAATTGATCAGTAATATAAATGGCAAAGGTTATATGCTCGTGAGCATAGTGTATATCATTAATTGGTAATTTCAAGTTCTATTGGGGTTATTATCGGGCGCATAAGACTATACCAATACTTAGTTATTATTGGTAGGTCTTGAAGATTGAAGAAGGCAATTATGTGAGAATTGATTTCTATACAGGGCATTCTAGCTTGTCGTTATAAGTACTTCATATAAAATATTGAGTTTAACTAGGTTCACATATTTTATTCAAGGTTCCCTATGTTAGCAAGGACACTATTTGCTTATAATTGTGCATCCTCTTATTTTGGAAGATCTTTCTGAAGAATTAGTTCTATACTTAGCGCTAAATTTACTACACATAGAAACTTTTCTGGTAATGAATACTCATCTTAGGAACGGCAATATGGAAATAAACATTAAATCACGATACAAAGCTGACAATGAAATATCATGTTCGAAATGTAATACACACTGTAATTGTAGATAACATTTAATTTGGTGGGATCTTCAATAAACTGAAAGTTCCTATCGAATTCTTAGTTGCTATTTTTTGTGTTTTCGTGGATATATTGATTCATAATATAAATATTTAATTGTTGTCGAGGAATCTGAGAGGCTTATTTCCAAA